TTAATGTATGCTTAAGGGTTGGTGTCGATGTTGATGAACTTGCAATAAAAATACAGTATTTTTTAATGATAGAGTAGATTCTCTGTTGAGACTTTTCTTGCTGACCCTACTTTGACAAATATTGCCGCAGTATCTAGTTGCCAAAAGTCTAGTTGCACAATTTGATAGCTCCGATAGCTACTGCACAAATATATTATGCTTGGAAGGGTATTTGACAGTTCCAATTTAGGAAATTCGCTTGTTCATAGACCTTGAATATTCTTATAGGGGAAACTTTTTATTCCTAATCCGCCCCTTATTCAAGTTAAAATTGCAACTCAAATTAGTATCCAATAAAAGTGTTAAAATTATGGATTATGTCAGCCTAATGCGCATAACAGTTTTATCAGGAAATAGTTAACTAGTGACATGATTTATGGGCGTGTAAGCCTATATCGTAATTACTTCTCGATAGCCTATAAATTACCGGTATACTTATTGGTTATAAACAACGTATATATGAATAACTAACTGACCTGGCAAACGTTCTTTTACCATATGACGTATTTCGACCAAAATATGTCAAAAATATAAACTATATCAAGATATATTTTACACTTATTTTTTGGGTATTTGAACCGTTTTCGCAACGCACGTAACGGAAAACTTAAAGATGAACAATTTTCTCCGTTTTCCCCACATATACCACTGTTTCTTCCCTCCCGTGCAATTCAAATCAGACATTTTAGCCGTAAAACGTTGGTATATATTTAAAAATTTAGTTTTTGAAAATGGAACGGCATTGTTAAGATGTAACAATTTCTATCATTGTCCACTGCTGTTTTCGGCATTATTTTCATTTCGTATTGTTGAGGTTGACGCAAATAAATATGAACTAGGGCGAACTGTGTTGTTCGCTTTCTGCATTGAAAGCTTTATTGACGTCCTATTCATGCACACGTGCGGTACAAATTACCGAGGCCTGTTGAGGGCTTACAGGCTGCATTCAATGGAACGTTGCGACCTGCGCCACTAAAATGTCAGGGGTGAGCGAGCCACCGGCAAATAGGTTAGGTCTTTATAAAATTAATTACGTGTAATGTAGACTAGTTCAGTAGTATTACAGGTATTCATTAAAGTGATACGGCTCTCTTATAGAAGAGAATTAAGAGCTTAGCCACAACCCTGCTGCACAGGTTTTTAATTACTACCGCCACTACATTAGTGATAACGGGCACCACTTTCTTAACGTGCAATTACATTTACGTAGAAAAAATTTAAATACAAAATATTATGCTTAACCTAATTATAGTATGATTGTTACCTAACAAGAAATAAAAAATACCACCCCTCTCCACTGACAAACAAACACACACGACACTCGTATTTCGTCCTAAACAAAAATTTTATGTAACTTCTTATTTCTTTATTGGCCTAATGTTTTGTATACTTAAACTATGTATTAACTTCATCAAACAGCTATAATGAGTACAATAATAAATAAACGTTTTGGGGAGAGAAGAGATAAGCTATTTGTAATTTAACTATACAATATTGCAACTGTTTCATTTCAATATATTAAAAGTTCCAGCCTCTAACTGCCGTGTAAGAAAAAGGAAAGACGCATAAGTGCCGTAACGTATTACGTAACGAAGCGATTTACACCTTACGAAAGTACCATTTCAAAAATCACTGTAAGGTCACTATGTCCATAAGGTACCTAATGTTTTGCGTGACTTCTTATAATTCTGAGCTAACAAACAATTGTAATAGCTAAAGAATGGCGCCGAAAATTTTGCAGGGTGTTGGCAGATTGTTAAAAGGGTTATTTATGTGTTCGTGACTATTGTAAATATTATTAGTATATTAAAAGTATTATTCCGAAATTGTAGCGATGGCCTTTCAGAATTGGTATTTTATGAAGCCTTTGATATTCGGCATATTTTGCCGCCATAAAATTGGCTTTATTCCATATGGACGTTCGTAGATATAGCGATGTTCACAAATTGGGGTTAATATCTTAATAAAACAAAGTTGTTACTTACGCTCATATTGTTGAACTCAATCTACAAGGGTCGTATAAAACATACTACTGTAGGTACGTCATTCAGATGAGCAGGCTATAATACTTATTTTTTAAACGTGCAAAAATATTTGAGACTTTTAGTCTTAAGGCTTTCTAATTACTATTTGTAATGGCATTCAGTCTTCATGTTGCATTAATTATAATGTAATGCTGATATTAAAATCATGTTTTGATTAAATACGCCTTTAACCGTTTCGAACGCGACAATTATTTTTGTATGAGTCTTTTTCATGATGCTTAGAAATAGTCCTTAAGGCACAGTGCAGAAATAGGTATCTAATACATTACGTGTTTAAATCTAAAAAAAAATGTGTTTATATAATGTGTACTGCTCCCTCAAACAAAAGACGTCATTTTATTTAACGAATATATCAACAGAACAGTTCATTATAAATACATTATTTCATTCATATTCATATTTCATATAAACATTTGGCGAATACGCGATATATTAGTTAAACTTATTTGAAGCCGTGACCACGGCTGCTGCGAAGCAAACCGAAACGTCGGGCCGAAGTTAAAAATCATTTTCAAATAAGTTTAACTAATATATCGCGTTTTAAACCGTTCAATATTTAAAAGTTTGGTGATTTTAGCTTATGGAAGCCTTCATGTCTCGTTGTTTAACATACTCCACTAAGTCTGGACCATGATAATTATTATGCGTAATGTTTACAGCCCCACTAATCGGTGGAATCCCGACACTCAGTCTACATGATTTATGCAAAAGAGGTTTCATTGTTTCCAATATTTCTGAGAAGAAAAATCGTGTCAAAGACAATGCCAATATTTATTTAAATGAGTTATGAAGTGAAATTCCGACTCTTAGATGTGGGGATGGGGTAGACACATCCGTTAGACTAATTGATTTACAAGTAGATAATGAACGAAACTTTTATTGTTAACCGGGATTCGAACCCAGGATTTCTCTTACTTACCGCAATGTATTTGTAATTGAGCTACGTGTTCCTACGTACAATTTTCTTAAAATACGTAATTTACCTATTGTTTAGTCTAACAGATATTATCATATAATTACCTAATGTGTTTTCGAACATGTAAGTGGGAGTCATAGTACAAGATTTGGAAGGCTTTATTATTTATCTACGTGCTACGAACCATGGCGCCTACACGCCTGCCGCGTAGCACTCAAGATCAATACAAGCAACGCGCTACGAAGATTCCCTCTTGCCAACGATTCACGGGAGGAATATAAATAAATATGGAGAAATAAGTTTACATGTTAATGTTAAAAATGTATATTTACATTACTATTAGAGAAAATAACGTAAGTAAATTAATCACACTAATTTTACATCTAAAATAAGTTGTTCTTTTTATTTATCGTCTTAATAATGCTATAACGCATTTAAGGGCTATAGTTATATTAATATAATCAACAAATAAACTAATATTAATGTTAACAACAAATCAATAATCTAGTTATATCTATTCATTTTTATATAGCCTAAAAACCCTTGCGACTTCTTACCAAGGGGTCGGTGTGTAGACTGAGTGGCGCCATAGGAATAGTTTGGTAATGGCATGAAGATAAAATGACCTACATAGTGACAATTTCTTACTTAACTTGTTTCAATATATTATTTGAAATTAAACAAATATTATTTGGTTGCAGTAGAAGATTTTTATTTTCTAATAATACAATTGTAATAATTAGTTATAAAGCAAGATATAATATCGTAAAAAAATAAAAAGTAGTTAGAAACATAGAGTGAAATAAAATTGAAAAAGAGAGATACTTATCATAATATAAAATAGTAATAGGTACGGATAAGAAAAAAATAAAAAAAATTAATATACATGAGTTTGTTTGTCAGAAATTATTTTTTTATAGTTTGTTGCTTTGTAGTAACTTATATTACAGATATAAAATAAATATTTATTTATTGTATATCCTGTTATAAAATCTTGAAGGTTGAAGCATCGGCTGTATTTTAGGCAAGTAACACACATTGATGAAAAGTTCAACCTTAGTATTTAAAAATTAATTTAATCCCGTTTCTCCCCGTGGGACATGCGACGAACACATTTCTGTGTCTGTTTCACTGATGAGTTATATAATACCTTTCGTATTTAACACAATACAAGGAACACATTTCACCATTTAGCTACAGAGGCGAATTGTCTGCTTGGATAACACAAAGACACAAATATTTTGTTTCTTTTAAGTCGGAGCAACATTTTAAAACTATCAGTCGAGTGCTATGATTGTGGCCGTTATGAGATTAGTTTCAACTGTCGATGCTAAGCCCGATACTGCGACCTAGACAAATCGATTGCTCCCGCCCACTTGTGTTTTTACCCAATCTACCCTTGCCAGTTACGTTCCAACATTTTTGTTAATCTTTACAATGTAAGTATGTCTGTATACTATGCGAATTGTTTATGCTTGAATAAAACATTTTTATTGCTTTAAAATGCTAATTATATTTTATTCACGACCCGAATGACACGACTATGTTTATTACTACTTATATATTTCGCGCTTGAAACCGTTGAATTTGTAAAGCTTTATTACATTTTCTTCTAATTTTGCTCGAAGTGGAACACACACAGAATAAATTTTTAAGAACCTAACTTTAAACTAACGCTAAACTTAGACAACAATCTCGTTGATCAAAAGATATAAAAATTGGGTTTAAATTAAATTTAGCTTTTGTTAATTTATAGGAAAGAAAGAGTTTAGTTTTCACTAACGTAAATAACTAGTCTATTCAAATGCAAGTGACTTTTACATTTAGTGTATGTAACTTTTTAATAAAATGTTACTTAGGGTTACCTATTCGTCTACTACTTTTATATAACATTGAGAACCGTCTGAAGAGGTTTAATGTTGTTGGTTTCAGTTTGAGCAAGTGAAGTGGACACCACAACGATGGTGGGGCGACGACGAGTGGCGCGATGAGCTAGCGTCATGGTAGGCGAGGGGGCGGGCCGCGGCGCCGCGCAGTGGCACGTGGGCGACTCGCCCCCGCGTGCGCCCATGGGCTTTGCGGCGCCCGCGCAGGATGCCTCGCTCGACCGTGGCCATGCGCCGGCGCCGGCACCTGTACAGCCCGCCGCGGCCGCCGCAGCTGCTTTGCAGCGGGCTCACTCTAGGTATGTTAATTATATAATTTACGAATACTTGTTCGTCGGCAAGACACGTTAAAACTTAAAGTTATTTTATTAAGCTTCATTAAAAAATATGTATATTGCAAAGAGACGTTTTAAATATGAACACAGTCGTTTTTAGTTATAATTTAGGTCATGTCATAAATATGCTTTGCTTAAATTAGGGTCGATTAGTATGACTCAATTGGAACGGTCGAATAGCAGCTCGCCTAAAGAGTGCCTCTTTTGTCTTCATTCGTATACATTGAAACAAATCACGGCCTCAATTCCAGGTCAATGTCATCTCTTCCACCGGAGCCCTTCATGATGCTCCGCGCCAAGGCGCTGAGCAAACGGGTCATCATCAACGTGGGTGGTGTACGTCATGAAGTGCTTTGGAGGACGCTAGAAAGACTACCACATACGCGACTCGGTAGACTCCGAGACTGCAACACGCATGAGGCTATAACCGAACTTTGCGACGACTATTCCTTACAGGACAATGAATATTTCTTTGACAGGTACATACATCATCAGAGCCAACTAGTAAGTGTAAGAAAACCGCTTTCGAAAAACTATATGTATCATTTTTAACAGGGGTATTCAGTATGTTTTTTTTTTTCTATTTATTAGATATTGTTATTATTCGTCCTTTAAGGGTTTTCTTACACGTGTTGTATAATAATGTTTAAATAGCTTTATTTAGTATTATGCTACTGTAACTGTAGGTACTTGAAACATATATAGTTTAACTTATTTTCCATTATTTTAGAAGTAGCTATAGAGTCGAATTGTTATTAGCTATATATTTATAGGCAAAAGTTGTTAATAGATGTATTATAGGTAATAAGAAAAAGTCCTATAATTCTAAATAGTTATAGAACTTATTCTTAGATTAAATCTCTTATTTTGGCACGATATCAAAGTAGAGAGCCAAGATATGGTAAAATCTTTTCAAATAATTTGAGAATTTATTCGTAGATTAAAGTAAATTGAAGCTTACACTAACCTTGGCTTCTACAGATGTGTGTTAATTGAGGTTCAATGTGTCCTTATAATTTTTCAGGCATCCGAAGAGTTTTAGTTCAATATTAAATTTCTATCGGACGGGCAAGTTGCATTTAGTGGATGAAATGTGTGTGTTGGCGTTTAGCGATGATCTCGAGTATTGGGGTGTGGATGAATTATATTTAGAATCGTGTTGTCAGCACAAATATCACCAGAGAAAAGAGCATGTCCACGAAGAGATGCGCAAGGAGGCGGAGAGTTTACGACAGAGGGAAGAAGAAGAATTCGGTCAGGGCACATGCGCGCAATACCAAAAGTGGCTATGGGACTTGCTAGAGAAACCGACGACGAGTATCGCTGCCAGGGTAATGTATTAAATAACGTTACAAGTTATTTTCATTTGTAAATTAAAAGAACCTAACAATTAAGCTGCCAGGAGTGTTGCATTGAGGTATATTGAGATTTCATAAATAAGAGAGTAGTTTAGACGCTTCAATCCGAATTGTACAGCTAGACTTGCACAGTATAGTACAATTAATAAGTTAGTTCTCGCTAGGTACACGTCACTGAGAAATAGACAATATTTACTTGACACTATCAGGGTTCCTATTGGTAAAATGGTCTACAATCTGAACAAGTATTTAAACCTAGTATAATATTAAAATTTATTATTATCTACGTTTATTTAATTTTTATTTATATATTATGGACTGAATGCATTTTCCAGTTTGTTCGTTGTTATCTGGTGCATGAATAACATCTATTGCGTTTACCTAAGTAGCAAGACTATCTAACTGCTATTCTTCAAGTCGTTACAGTAATTTGGGTACCTTTGTAAGCATACATTTTGATTTGCTTTTATAAATCACAAAAAATGTAGAAAGTATTGAAACGACTGAAGGCGAATGTTAGTTTATTTGTGGTGTTGTGTGTCCGTTTTGCACTTTTCAAATAGAAGTTATGTGACCCTGTCGCTTTTGTCGAAACTATGGCTGTTCTGTTTCTGTGCATTTTTATATGAATCTTGAAGATGTTCGTAAACTTTCGACAACAGCGATGCCACAATATTGTCATATGTAAGTATTTATAACTATTTCTCTCAATATGTATTAACAAGATTGAAACTCAGCAACTGAATGGATGAAGAAGATTTATATGCTTAACGTACATAGAACTCTATACGGCTTTGATGCAATCAGAATATCTACTTTGTAAAAATGGGAGATAACATTGCCTTTGTAAATATGTAAAAGTGATGCAAGCCTTTATATTGTTTTGAAAAGTTTCTTCTCATAAGTCGTGGGCAGATCGTGCCGTTGGTTATTGTCACCAGCTGTTAATTTTAATGTTCACAGCCGCGACGGTCGTTCTCAGATATGAGGGCATTTATAAAAACCAAGCTTAATTGTTGTCGCAAATGCTAAGAAGGGATGGGCTTCGCGATGTCACCAGCCGTTGCTGACGAGGCTCAAAAGGCTCGTGTGTGCTGCGGCACGGGACGTCAAGCGCCCTCTGGCGTCATATTGACGTCAGCGGGCACTCAATGCGCCCGCGCCGTTTCCCACTACAGCTGAGCCCCGTTCTGCAGTTAACCCTCTTATATATGATATACTCCACGATATTTTCAAACCTTGCCATGTATACTTCCCTCTCTAACGCTTTCGCTTTATACAACTAACAAGTAACAATAGTTGAACGAAAAAGCGTGTTCTAAAATATAAGTACATTCATTAAGATATAAAATTAGTAATTTTTTCATTCATGTATTTTGATTAAACGCCTTTTCGTTTAATGTAAATATCACAAATTCAACATTACTGTACCAGAATTACATACACCACGTTTACACAACACTACTACGACATAATCTCACAAATAGATGTTATTTTTACACCGAAACTGCTTCATATTTTACGCATATCTACTATCTGAACACAACTGCAGTGTTTATTCTAGTAAATAAGCTACAAATAAGGTACTCTTTATACTCAGCAGTAGAAGTACTGCCTCGAATGTAAATAACTACGCGCATACTATAACACTTTCTATACAATAAACTCTTACTTAACCAACTCTTCAATTCTGCTTATATTCATCAATGATACAGATACATATACTATGTGACAGCGCGATGCGTAGGAGGTTAGGAGTGTACAGATTAGTTGAAACAGTGCGTGGTTGCAGGTGATCGCCGTGATCTCGATCCTCTTCATCGTGCTGTCCACAATAGGGCTCACTCTCAACACGATCCCACAAATGCAAGTCGCGGACGAGAACGGCACCCCCATGGATAACCCGCAGCTAGCCATGATAGAAGCCGTCTGTATTACCTGGTTCACCCTTGAGTACGTGCTACGGTTTAGTGCTTCGCCGGATAAGTGGAAATTTTTCAAAGGTGGACTGAACGTTATAGATTTGTTGGCGATACTGCCCTATTTCGTTTCGCTTTTCCTCCTCGAGACGAATAAAAATGCAACGGACCAATTCCAAGACGTACGCCGGGTCGTTCAGATATTTCGGATAATGCGAATATTGCGTATCCTAAAACTCGCGCGCCACTCGACGGGGCTTCAGTCGCTAGGGTTCACACTCAGAAACTCTTATAAAGAACTCGGACTTCTAATGTTGTTCCTCGCGATGGGCGTTTTAATTTTCTCCTCGCTGGCATATTTTGCGGAGAAAGAGGAGCCGGGAACGAAATTTATTTCCATTCCCGAAACATTTTGGTGGGCCGGCATCACCATGACAACGGTCGGGTACGGCGACATATATCCCACCACTCCCCTGGGCAAAGTGATCGGCTCAGTTTGCTGCATTTGCGGCGTGTTGGTTATTGCGTTACCCATCCCTATTATCGTCAACAATTTCGCCGAGTTTTACAAGAACCAGATGAGGCGTGAGAAGGCGCTCAAACGTCGCGAGGCGCTGGAGCGCGCAAAACGCGAGGGTTCCATCGTCTCCTTCCACCACATTAACTTGCGAGACGCATTCGCCAAGAGCATGGACCTGATCGATGTGATCGTCGACACAGGTCAGTATTCCCTTTCACCCCTTCGCTAAAGCTTCCTCATGTCGTGTGTTCTCCGCTCGTTGTCACTTTTGCATGCAAGCTTCAGTCTGTGCTTAACTCAAACGTCTGTAGCGAAGAGTGTAGACGTCCGCGCTGTGTGCACGTCGCATAGTACCGCTCTCCGGACTCGCAGACACATGACTCAGAATCAGCAAGATCACGTTACATCGCAGCTACCGCTATGTTAACTCGTCCGTTTCGAAGAGCATTCAGAATGTTTATTCCTTGTCTTCAGGTGACAAATGCGTCCTCATTGAGGCAAGAGACGATGCGAGATGAGCCACTTACGATCGAAGTCTTACTCGACCCCTAATTAGTATGTCCGTAGCTCGGGGTCGGGTTCGCGTCGCGTGTAGCTTGCGATGTGCGACGAAGACACTTTATCTAAGGTCGATTACATTGTCAGCGTAAGCCTAACGCTTCATAGAACTAACACCCATTTCTTCTGTGGACTGTCTGTTGTGTGTATCCGGAGGACGAGGGATTTTAGACTGTTCGTGTGGAATGTGTGTTGTGTATCACGCTGCTATTTTCGTCATTCGTTATTAATATCGCTAGACTATCGTTAATCACGCAAAGCAAGAGTGCTTTAGGGGACGGCGTAGGCAAACGGGATAAGTCGCTACTTATGTATGGTATGTGTCTCCAGGACACAACTTGTCCCAGGCGGACGGCACTAGTCTGGAAGGTGAAGTACCGCCGATCACCGGCTGCTACAAGCAGTACGACCATGCGATCGCGAATAGGATTCCACAAGCTGATGCTCACCAGGTAACATAAAGTTATTTAGAAAACAGAAAATATGTCAAACGCCATATACCTAACTTTTAAGACGCTTAATATAATTTCTAAAAGTAGTTGTATGCTCATAGGAGTATTTAGTACTGGCTATGTATTATACTACAGGATCGATAGATATATATACGTACAAACAATATAGTGCAAATTCTAAACTTACTAGAAACCGCTTTTATACCATTCAGTTGTAGTTTCAGAGCAGTCCTAACAAGGACCGACGCTTCTCAGCAGAAGGCTTGGTCACACCGGAGAAATGCTTGCTCATTAATCCTGAACAAACGCCAGTAAGATATCCACTTAATCATTTATAGCTAATGCCTGCTGAGTAGTATTAGATAATAATGTATTACTAACTCGTATGTCAGAACAGAATACAGAAAAAACCAGAAGCCATCAACGCGCCAAGTGACACCATCATAACTCCAAATTGTACTAGTTCTATAACTAATCAAACTTAAATGACATACGCGCAGTTACTAAATAATATTCTTTAATATATTATTTCTACCCTTTGCCGATGTGCGTTATATTTAAATCGACTCTAAAATTGGTAATAAAAAGACTTACAGTATGTACGTCACTATCTAGATGAGGAAGAAGAGGCAAGAATGATCAAATCGTTTAGGACACAGGATTCACGTTGAGACGTTTCTTCTGGTTAATTCAATATTCTATTATCAAATGAGCTATTCTTGTTAATTGCTTATATTGGACAGAAAACCTACCTAACTCTACAGAAAAAAAATCAAACCCAAGTACTCGTGCAAGGGAATAGTACAACTAGGTAAACTAAACGATGTATATTAATTTATAGGACAATTATTAACCTTGGTATTGTCTTTACAATTTAGAAAAATGTATGTAGATAGTGTATGTATTAACCACTAATATTTCTTTTTCTAGGAAAAGAAGATGGCTGAAAAACAGCTTGACTTGGAACAGCTGCCTTCTGAGTTTGAATGTTGTTTTTGCACGTTTAAGGTACTAAACAATATTAACTACTTCACCCCTGATATTTTGCAAATTACTACTAAGTATCATTAGTTACTACTGCTTTATTAACAAACAACCATACTGGCTGAACTAATAATATATTTCACGTTTTAAGCAGTTGAAGTGTTTTATTAAAAAAATATGATTTACAGTTTGTATCACTAACTCCATGCTAACTTTACCTAAAAGGTTTCTATTCAATTTAGACTATTCAATCGTTTGTATCGGTTAATTTTTCCCATACCACAAACAATACCTAGTTTACGACATTTTAAAATCTAAAACCAAAATATTTTTAATTCTAAGAAAGAAATGATCTTATAAGATCAATTTTAGCATCAAAATAATTGATACACCAATAAAAATTAAAATAGCCATTATAAACTTCAAACATGGTAAGAGACATAATTTTCACTTATCCTCCCCTGTATTATCTATGATTTCTTAAAATTTCCAGGGCTACAAGGAGTTCATAGACGCCGAACAACTAATGCCAATGTCGACATCAGACCTGCGTCAGCCGGTGTGCGTCGAGTTGGCGTGCTTGCAGAGGCATCCGGCGCCTCGTGCTCTCCCAGAAGCCACTCCAAATAGTCTCGACAGTCCTGGTATCTATTACGTCATTGTATTTTTGTGCAATACTTCACACTTCCTCATTGTACCTATTTAATAATATTAACAGACCCCATTTCCTTTCACATTCTATATGAAAAAGTAAATTTGGCAAAAGTTTATTTGGATTGGATTACACCCCACTGGTTCACTGGTGCTCGTCACTGCACTCACATATCCTACTGTTTGAATAGAGCACACTCAACCTGCGTTGGGCGTGCTCGGTTCCATATGCGTCTGTCTTGCGTTGCAGATACATTTGCATCATGCCTTACGCACCCTTTTCCTTCAGAGGGCGACATCACGTGCGAGAACGACTCTTCAAACTTGTATGTGAATCCTCTGGATGGTAGCGGCGGGAGCGGCGCGGGGGTGAGCGCGGGGGCGGTTTCGACCGAGTTTGTGGGTATGCGCAAGAGCGCGTCGGGTGATGGGAGCGTGTTGTGTGCGAACGATTCGCAGGGGAAGGTTTCACCGCGCGGCTCGCGAGGCAGCCTCAGTGCTGTCGGTACTGGCGCCAGTGTGGTCGCCGCTTCTGAGGCAGCAGGGCAACTTGACGAATCACCCTGCAGCCTCACGCAGCCGCTAGATCTCCCCGCGGCCGACGACTCCAAGCCCAAACATAGAAAAGCAAGATTTCAACAGGTCAGTCTCCGCCTTCGCTGGCCCTCTCACAACGAAGACAACGATGCCGTTCAAACATACCAACCGAGACAGTATTGGCTATGGGGTACAAAACTTTTGCATTTGTCATGAAATTGATGTTCGTTTCGTCCTTCGTATGTTTGCACGCTGTAGGCACAGGATTTAACATTGTCTTCTTCGTTACCCGCATGTATAATACCTTTATTACTAACTCTATCTATGAAATGTACATTTTTTACTTGTCTTTAAGATTTCGCTTACTTCTAAGCCACTTTCCGGTGAAGTGTCAACTTATTTTTCTCTTTTGTATTGAATTTTAGGAGTGGTCGGAGGAGGAGAAGAGGCCACCTCGCGGCATAGCGACGAGGATAATTAATCACCATATACTGTTTGGTAAGTGGTAGAAGCAAAACAATTTCCTCGTCCTAGGAAAATGGTTAGAATTGAAATTTTTTTCATAGATCCTTTATTGAGGAAGGCTTTAGGTTCTAAAACATCAGCTTGCGACCAATAGGGGCAGAGAAGCAAAGGTATTTTTTTTTGATCTCTGAAGGTTTGTAAATGCGCGGGTTATGAAAAATCGTTTTGATATACCCACAAAATATATATAAAAGAAATATTCTTTTTCAAATAACTTAAAGAAATATCCGTGCTAGTATATGTCTATCTTTTAAGACTAAATTCCATGTACCATTCTATAAGAACCATATTCCGTCGAAATACTTCTTTTCAAAATAATGTTTGACAGGGTTGCTAGTTAAACATATAGTACTAGGTTTACAGTAAACATTTTAATAGGTAAGAATGGCAATAAACGTGGGGGCAGCGGCTGGCCACTCGAAGGCGACTCCCGATCTCGGTCCATTCTGAAGAACAAGGAGTCGCGGGGCACCGACAGCGAGCTGCTCCTGCAGGAGACTACCTCGCTCGGAGCAAATGTACGTATGCTTTTACGACCAGAAAGGATAGAACGTAGAATTTACTTGATGTTGAATTTCTTATTACAGTAAGTTGTCTCTGTCGACCTATTTTTGCTTCCATTGTATAATCTGTAGCTTCAAACAGACTTAAACCGAAAGGCAGATTAACATTATTAACGGCTATTCTATTTTCTTAATCAATGTTTTCGACCTTGGATGTGACCTAATATATTTTTTATTCTGATGTTGGACATCATATTTGTTGTGTTTTTTGTAGGCTCAATCTAGCCTAGTAGAGTATAAGCTATCCTCGAAAAACCGATGTCAATTTCGTTCCAGGGTGACTCAGGCAGCGAGTCATCGCCAATTCGTTTGAAAGACTTCAAGGGGCACAACCATAAAGCCGGCACTGAAAGAAGCCACCTCGTGACGTAAATGTTAAGACTTAGCACGCCCTGCTCTTCACCCGCGGCCCTAATACTTTCTAGAAGTGACACAATTATACGCCGTACCTACCCCACAACGCGTACGCTAAATTACTATTAAAATTTTAGAATGCAATAATATTAAAAATACATAAAAAATTAACATATCATTGGGCGATTGTGACTGCTTGTTGATAGACGATTTTCATTTTGTAGATTTATAAATATTGTAAATTATGTATTAATGTAATAATTGTTCATTCCAATCGAAAAGTTGAAAGTACCTACTTGTTAAGTTTTTTACGTGCAATTATTAATTGCTAATTCTAATTTAAGCGAATATAGTTTGTACAGCATAGTAATGAAAGAAAAGCAATTATTAAAGAATTTCTGAAATTGTTATAGATTATTTTTGGCGTTTCTTGTTGACCTTTGCCCAAAACTTCACTTAAAAACTCAAAAACACACAACACTTGAAATTAAAGAAACGACATCGTCAACAATGATATTTATTTGGAAGATTACAATGTTAAAGAAATAAAAACACGGACATAACAGTGATAGTCAACACTTAAATTCACTATATTAGGTTGATAATTTGTGGCGTATGCCATTACTGTATACAAATTTTGACTTTTCGTATCACAAATCATAATACACTCGACAAAAAAAGAAAATAATACTATTATAGAATGTAAAATTTATCAATAAACACTAAAAATAATTTCCTCGAATGTTTAAGACTACAATATGTTTAATTGATAAATTACGAAATAACAAGGCTTTGGTTTAAAGTGAGTAATTAATGAGTATCGTGGAAGAAAATGAATTATTAAAATGATTGTGAAAGGTTCTGTATTAGCCATTAGCTTATTAACAAAAAAACGTTTGTGACGGTGAACGAGGAAACTTAAGAATTATTTCTACGATTTTACGAAAGCTCATTTTACACCGATTTAGATTAAAAGAAAACTTGTATAGCCACTCGTTTAAAACTCTTTTATACGTAATAATGCACTTATTGGTAATTTTTACATTGTGAACACACAGGCACGTTAGTTGACATACTTTGTTACTCATGGCACGTTATTTACACATTTTTGTAACTCTTAGTGTATACTCCTTAATTTATCATTAAAATAGTTGTTAATACTATTAAACGTGAAAAAAAGCCGTTTAGCGGCCAGGAATGGCAAAGATAATAAATAAATAATAAAGGTACATATCAAATAAAAGATATAACGATTAGAATTTCGTAGTGATAGTAGAAAAATGGTGCTTATATTATCCTTTATACAATTAATGTCAATACATTTATTCATTAGCTCCTTTTTCTGGCAGTGATTTGGTTGGTTATTTATAACGAAATTAGTCATGGTATTGCAATATTTCACCAGGCAAAATAAATATAAATATGTGTCATTTATAGTGGCGTAGCTATCGTAAGGCCCCGGAACTTAGGGGCCCTCTAACCTTATCTTTGAGAAGATATAAGTGCAGAAGAAAAAGATTTTTTGTGTTCTTGTTGCTATTTATAATTTTGGAGGTTCATTTAATTCAAGCTAGGCTGAAACAGAGGATGAGGGCCCAATTCTTTCTTAGACCCTAGGATTAGGTAGACCAGGACCCTTGTCAACCTAGCTACGCTACTGGTCATTTAATACTATTCAATTAATTTTAACATTAAAAGCCATAATCCTAAGTATAATTAATTACTATACGTTTAGCTGCTAACATTTAAATATGAATACATATTCCTTATTTACACTGTATAGTATTTAAAATAAAAATATATTTTAAAGTACGATATGAATAAAATAGACTACAATTGATATATACGTAACTATTATAAAGCCACAATCTTTTTATGACTTCTGTCAAGGTTTTATAGGATTAATATTGTTACATGGAAGGTTTACAAGTTACTAACAAAATCAAATCTGCCGCTATAACAACCCCTCATTATATATTATTTGTATTTCATGAAGGTTTATAAAAATATTTGATATATGCAAATAGGATGAGAGAAAGTTTTTTTTTTAATGTGGAAACTGTAGGTATAGAAAAAAAGATGCCCCAAAAAAGGTATGTAGTAGTAGTAGGTATATAGTTAGATGTGTCTATGCAAAAGCGTTAGGATTTAATATCTCTACCACTTGAAAAACTTGTTGAGTATCATTCTTGCTGAGTACAAGGTCAGAAAAAATTGTACTGCCTCAAAGGTAATTATTGCTAAGCATAAATAATATTATTTAATTTAGCTGAAGTAGATAGCAGAATTACTATCCTGTACCATCTATTTCATAAATTTCAAGGATAAATTTAACAACAAAAATTACCTATCGTCATAAAAGAATACAACAAAAACAATATATTACCATACTTTTAGAATGCAATACTAAAGTATATATATCTAAAAAATTGTCTTTGTTCATTTTGTATTAATGTCTTGTCCGGTTTTTTGGCAAGAGCACACAGCCACTTTGCACACAATATTGTTTGTATGGTGAATGATGTACCACCATGTTAGGAATTATATACACTATTATATAGGCTCTAATTTGGTTTGATTGTACATTGGAATTATCACAAACCTAATGGTCTATCAATGATCTTAACTTACAATTTTGTTTTCCTGCTTTGATTATCCATGCATAAATTGATAAGTATCACTATCAGCTGGTTATCTATGCCACGCTATTGTCAATGCAGTCCGTAATTTTCCCCAAAGCCAAGGATAAAGGCCGCCTCCTCTCCAAGCAGCCCTAGCTACATATTTGAAGTAGTCATAGAGACCCCATGGAGCATGACCACCATTAACATAGTATACATAGGTAAATCCATCTTTACAGCGCCCCTTTATTGAATAGTAATATGGCAGGAAGGAGTGTAATCTAAACCTGTAAAAAAAATTGAAAGTATTGTAAAAGGCGCAACATTAACCCTTGGTAATATATGGTAGTTGATGTTAAAGTTATGAATAAAAATGTTTAGACTAAACTTGCAATATAAAAGTACCTTCTTTTTTCATAAAAAAGGATGGCTTCATTATTTGTAGTGAGAACATGTAGGAAAATTGCTTTGACCCTATGTTCGTGTGGGGGTTGTGGTACAGGTCCTGCTAGATGATTCAAGAGGACATCTAAAAGTAGAGTTGCTATACCCGATCGACGATATGAACGGACAACACCTATTTTCAACAAAACAATAATGTTAGTTATGATAATGACGATTGTCATTGTTAATATACAAATAAAATATTATCAATTTAATTATATATACACAAAAACATTAACTTACCTAATGACAGTATATAGGCCACAAGGGTATCTTTGGAGGCAAACCATCTGGACAGTATTCCTCTATCTTCTGCATTTAACTTGAGGTAAGGTTTTATTTCAGCAACAATGAGGCCTATAATTTGGCTTTTATAAACAGCTGCTAGGGCAAAAAATCTTTCTGATGATGTTATATCTTCATACCATGATTGAGGATATTCTATAGGAAACCATTCCCTACATAAAGCTCTCACCTGATTAAACAAGAATTTTAATTAAGATACATATTCTAAAGACAGATATTATCTTTAAAGTAGAGTAACACACACCCAAACACCAATTACATACCTCTTCCAAATCATCAGGGCACAAGAAACGCAATTGTACATCTTTTAAGGAACATTTTTCTTCTTTAGACTTCTCAATAATCACTTGGAAGCCTTCAGAAAGGTACCTTCAAAAGATTCTTATATAAATACAGTGGTACTCATGTATAAATAGAAGTAGGAACTATGCAATAATATTCTTCTCAACAATTGTTTACTAAACATTATTTTAGTGTGAAATATCAATAAAAGGCATAAATAATAGATATCAAGAACCATGTATTCATTTAAGAAATGTATGGCTATTAAATATTGATCTTTAACAACAGATAATTTTTTAATATATAAAATTAATAATTCGTGTAAAATAACTATATTACCAACTGAATCCAGCCATTCGTTAATTTGGCCATCAATTTAGTCACATTAAACACTTTGATTATTTTTATTAAGGCTGTAAAAACAATTCCATAACGAATGATTACCGCTTGATTAGGTACAGCTTCTATTTCGTTTTTATTTATAATAAATTAAATTATTATTTCTAAACTTCCCTAGCTCATTTTTCAGAATCACAATCAAAGCACAATACCCAGAACACTTGACATTTCTTGACACAGTGCCCCAAAGATACAGACACTACTATATCCAGTAGTAACCAAGACAGATGCAATATAGCATGGTATAGTTTAAAAATCGAGTGACTATACTTACAACTGAAGAATAATATCACATAAATATTCTCTAACGAGAGCTTACAATAATAATTAAATATATATAATATTTTAAGATACTACTTGTATATCAATAATAATCAGCGCATTCTGTATGGCTGATTATTATGGACATATTGGTACACAGTCTGTCGAAACTTAGTATAACATGGTATAAAGAAATAATAGTATTATTTATAGGGGGTATTATTATATATTTTTAAAGGGTTATATTAAACGTATGAATTTTTAAATTTCGTCAAAAGCCATCTCAACAGAAAAACAACACATTTAAATTGTTACTACGGTACCTCTGACTGCCATCTGTGCAAGACTGCTCTCCGTCAATAGTCAATGTCAGTTTATTTCGTGGTTTGATTTTTTTTGGTTCTCTCCAGAGGTGGGCGATTATGAATGATCGGCATAATCGATTTATTTTGAATTACTAATGTTGGTAATCGATTATGGGATTAGTAACTAATTTGTTTTTATAATCGAATGATGTTACTAATTAGTAATACTAACCGTGCACTCCTTAACTTTAGTTGTTTAAATAATAATAGATACGTTTATATACTGGTGTAGTTTGTTTTGTTTACTACGATATTGAGAGACGTGGCGCTTTTCACCTTTTAGTGGATTTATTATATTTAAAACTACGTTGACCAACCTCTTTTAATTCTGCCTAAAAGTGTAAATATGACTTTTGGTTTTAAATAACCTTTTAATAAATAAATGTTCATTTCCTTCATGTATTACTTAACAATTTTGAGACTAAAACTCATCGCTATAATATATTTTACATTTTTATATCTTAGTTGCGTATCTGTCACAGTATAAATATATATTACATAGCATAAAATATGATTTTCTATTTTATATATAAAATATAAATGTAAACAGTTGAACTTTAGAAATATGTTATACAGTCTATGGCTCCTTGTATATTCTGTGTAATGACTGTAGTTCATACTCTATGGCAAAGACACGAACTTGACATCTATAGCCGACGTATCGTTTTATTTTTAAAAATATTTTAAATCTCAATTAGTTGTCAATTTTAGTCACGCCGTGACGTACGTGTCGGGTTGTGATGATTGCAAAAAATAAATTTGTTAAAGAAAAATTTTAAGTTATACTGCTAATTTACATTTTGGTTTATATTAATTACGTATAATTAATTTGAACTTATATTGTGTAGTTTTGTTAACTGAAACGTAACTTTCTAAATTTCGAGTCGGTTTTCGTTACGGTCAAGTGGTCGAAGGTGTTATATCATATTTTCGTATTGTTTGGTGAACACGATGGACCAGAGCAGTATAACTCCTAATACATCTAATCAGCAGCTGGTGATTAATGGCGATAATGAGTCTGCGACAGCGCTGCTGCAGGAGAAGCAGGCGAGGAGACGTGTAACACTGAGTGATGTTACCTTGAGAGAATTCATGACAGTCGGAATACTGTGTTTTGTCAACCTCATCAATTATATGGACAGATTCACTATAGCAGGTGAGTGCTTCTTACAATTCTTAATATTCCTATTGGTCACAATATATGTGCTGAAGATACCACAAGCATAATAATGACCACCTGTTAAGTATTTAGGATTTAGGAAAAGGAAAAATTTTAGGCAAAGTTTGAAAAAGACATGCACATTATTAGTTAATTACTATTAATGTGCTTGCCTTTAATGAAGACTGTTATAAAAATTTAAGTTTTCAGTCACTATTATTAATCTACATGTTTAACTTAAGAAATGGCTACAAATTAATATCTATTTCTTTAAAATTGCTGTCAGGTGTATAATTTAATATGTAATGCATATCTTATTTGATAGTGCTATTAGAAAAAGCTTACATGGTGGTACAGTAAACATTTTTGTACTTTTTCCTCTATAGCAAATTTAGTAAAAATGTAATTCTTAAAAATATATTTCTAAAGTGTATTATCAGATATATTTTGATGTATCTGTCAGATATAGCTAGGATAGATTCTGAACCATAGCTATTTAATTATTGTTTAAACTTGGTAAAAGGCTTATATTTCTTTAAACCGCTTATTACTCATTAATTGATCTAATAACAAATATATTCTGAAACATAAATACAACAACAAAGTGCCATTTCACTATTTTTACATAGCATTAAAATATAAACATCAGACATATAATCTTGGACAAAATATTTATACACTTAGTTACAAAGATATTAATAACTATAAAACATAATTTTTTAATAAAGTCATATTAAATCTTACATTTCCATAAGCACCCAAAAATTACCTATATAAGATCAGAATAATAGATGTGGTGGTTAAGCATTTTCATGGAGCCAGGCATATTTGCTACATTAAGTAACAAATAAATAAGTAACATTCCTTGCAAAGTTATAATTATTATGTATTCAGCTTATACAAAATATTTCATCATATCAAGAGGAGAATTATGTTATCAAACTTTAGCCAACAATCTAGGTTACACAATGATTTTGTAACTTCCTTGCTTTTGGGATTAAACTAGATTACATTGTATCACTTTATCTTAAAAAGATGTAATTTTCCTGAATCCTTAATTTTGTAATAGTATTAAAAGTTTTAATAAATATTTGGTATCACAAACTTGGCTCTATAGTTGAGCTTGTTGCATAGTGTTGCGTTGTATGTTGTTTAAATCGCGGCAATAGAAACATTTATTAAAGTGCAGAAGTCTGATCCACTCACTGTAACTGTCTGTGTGATTAGAAAATCATGCTCACAAAATTGTCTGTGTCCTAACTCGCACAGTGGTTTTACCTAACACATATCATGGCTAAAAATAATATAATGTAATTAATACAGTAGTAATAATTTTTAAACTACTTTCAATGTGTCTGTGTGTTTCAATGTTTCAACTTTTATACAAAAGGTGCGGAAAGGGTAATTGACAGCCTTGTAATTATAAAACTTCGATTTCGCCGGACAATTGCTTACTTTTCCTTCGCGGTACCACACTAGTGTTTACTAAGTATATATATTATATATTCTTGCGTCTTCAGTCTCACACATAAATGTCGAAAATATCCGGTTTTAATAAAACGGTAATGTCTAATGAACTGTAATGGGCGTTTTTATCGCATGATGTAGCGACGACGTCAGTGCATTACTCGACTATAATCAATAAGGCTTTTAATGTAATTGAAGTTTCTCTAATTGTATTACCGATTTAATCTATTCACGGTTAACTGTTACGCCTAACGGAGACGAGAAAAGTTAGTTCCGACTTTTTTTGTTGAAATTATTTATACTTTTGGGCTATGATTATTCTTAGTGTTCCTTTGATTGTTGACTTAATTAATGTAAGGTAGAAGAATGTGCATTTATTTTGAAATGTTTTGGTTTGTTATCTTTCGGGTACGAACGTTACGAGATACGAAATATTATTCCTATAGTGAGCTTAAAACCTTGGTTTAACAACTAGGTATTAGTATAAGCCTTTCATATATAGCCTTATATTCTTATAGACTTTAGCTACTTTTAAAACTGTTTAAACAAGTGAATTTTTGAAATTACCAAAATAATGTACACGCAAGTTATTGTATATTAACTGATGTATATTTATATAGTTAAAGCGAGTGAAATAAACATTGACAGAAACGATCAGTTAATTATTTTAACAACGTCCCGAAGTCTGCTGAAATGCTTTTTAATCTGCTTTTTCCCATTTTTATCTGTTGCTACTGTAACAGAATATAAATACTGTAGCGCTTGTTGTTATCCATCACGACGATGACAGTCGATGCTGGGCTTAAAATACCTCGTATGCGGTGGGCCCGAAATATCTGGCCATCGGACACCCAAGAAGGGTTCACGTCACGTATCCTGAGGAATAATCTCTTGTGTCAAATCACGCGCGTGGGATCCACGCAACGAACACAATGCTCCCCCTAAATATGTATGGAACTCAATCGTCATTGTCCTCGCAAGAGGTGATTTATATAAAACCTGTTTGTGGAGTTTTATTAAAACGGTCCCCCAGAGTACTAGGTAAATATACAGCGGTAGTGTTTGTGTAAACATAATTTCGTGAAGGGCTCCCTATTTCCCTGTGGAGCCATTGGCACTGTTTGTAGTGCCACCGCGAGGCTCCATCTTGACTTAATTACACGCGAAACCGCTTGCGAAAACGATTAAATTCAACGGGCTTTTACTCTCCCTTCTCAAATATACTTACTGTCCAATACACAAACAATCCCATTTTCATAGCATAAGGATATAGTCGCTTCCTCGCTCATCATCTTTTGTTTACTAAGAAATGTTTTAACCAAAATCGGCTTAGCTTATTGGCAAAACTTTTGTAGAGAGCCATACAGACATATATATATGTATACAGTCCATACTTATTATACATACATACCATACTTTACGTTTAATTAATAAAACATAATGCTCTTACGATAACAACGATCTGAAACATAATATTTTTTAAATGTAAAAAGGTGAAGTTTACATTCCCGGCAAATGAGTAACTTTGTGTTGTACAATTATTACAGTAGTTGTGGATAAGGACCGTTATAATAGATTATGCATTAGAACAATAGATTTGTAGTGAGTAATTGCTCGTCATATTATCTGCTTGTTATCATGAAGATTCATATCCTAGGTCAGGGACAATGATTCACTGGGGATCAAATGATATTTAAAATATGACAGACGATATCAAGTTTGCCTTGGTCTACACTACGTATAGGTACATTCCCTTGACGTATCTGATGTTTGTCTATAGATTTAAACATTTGTTTAAATATTGAAGCAGCCTCGACGCTGTAGCTATGCCATTGCGCAAAGGGTTTTTTTTACGATGATGGCTTCTAAGTATCGTAATAATAGACTTTATGTTATCAAATAGTCATTATTCAATATACTTCTGCTAACCAATGATTATCATTGCATTGGGTTGAAGGATAGAAAAACACTTATAACTTTAAGCAAAATAATTATAATTTTAGTATTATCTATTGGTATTTTTTTAAACTACAATCGGACGGTTTTTCCTATGAATCGTTATTTAATATCTACTTGCGTAAACTATAAACGCGACTTATGACTACTCATCCTCCCTTCATACTCGGTAGTTTATTTTCTGCTTTTTAAGTATCTATACCGACTACTAGCTGACTTGTTTAAGGCGTTATCCGCTTAGCGTCATATTTGGGGATATTATGATTCCTTTCAATTTGTTTATTCTTAAACAGATTATTCCTAATCCATGGTTTCCGGTATGATAGAAGAGTTCAAGTCTGACGTCATGCCCTCTTGCATCACGTTGATCTTAATCACAATACCTACTTTACGCGTCGCGTCTAATTTCTTATGCAAAGTATTAACGTCGGATAGTTGTATATATCATATTCTAGATTAATCTGTGAGTCAGTATTTTTTCCCGCTCAAATGTATATATAATGTTTATTTCTTTGCTACTTCTAACAAATATTTCTCGAAATATGTGAGACCTTTTTTACGTGTATGTACCTAAAAAAAGATAACATAGATACAAAATCAATAATTTCCACTTTCTGTCATATTTTACAATATCTATGTAAATAATGTCTATAGTTTACGCGAGTAGTACACATTTAAATAAAACACTGTGGTCACGGGGAGACACGGCTGCTGTAAAGCATCCGAAACGTCGAGCTGAAGTTAAAAATCATTTTCAAATAAGTTTAAATAATATATCGCGTTTTAAATCGTTAAAGTGTTTTATTTAAATTTCTATGTACTAAAAGTCATCTCATTTTATGTGCTGCCCCCTCGTGTCTTTAGACATGAAGTTTATTGAACTAAATTAAATAATTCTTCTCTAAAAGGTTTGTATTAAATTTCAATATGACGTATATGTAAATGACTACGTTATATGAAATGTTTGCTGTTCTATCCAAATACATTTCCAAATTCCATTTGATTAGATTTGTAGGGAGTAATGTAATATTTTTAGTAATAAAGGGGCCCCTGCTGGCCCCTGTCAATAATAATAGGGTGCGGGTGTGTACACAACGATTATTAAATGAAATATGTGAAAGGTTACATCTAAAAGATTGTCCCTCAGTGAGGGGTTAAAATGTTTAGGCGGTAGGTGTTCCCCACGACGTGCGTTGGTGGTTCAGTACATGGAACAATCGTTTGGCTCTTTTATTAGGCAAAAACATATATTTTTGTTTAAAGACTAGTATTACTTGTTTACGCCACTGATAGGTACAAAATCTAAAACTCTAATACATAGTTTTAAACGTGAATATTATGTTGATTGGATTTTGACATTTCGGATGGCTGTTAGCAGTCTAGGATAAGTATATTTCGCGTTTTAAACCGTTAAAAGTTGATGTTTAATATTTGTAACGTATGTTTAAATCTTCGCCAATATTGTTCTAGATTTTTAAATTAACAAAATATGAATCGTCGTCCATCTAGATCATCAGCTTCATACCTAACTAAAATAAATTTTGACGACTTAAGACATGCCAGTCAGCCAATAT